AAGGTAAAGCAAAGAGCAGAAAGAAACTGGCTCTGAACACAGAAATGTACAATCTCTTTCAGATGGACATAGCTACACAGATTTAGTAGGATGTGTGCATGCATATGTTTATGTGTGTTTGTGTGTTTATTGCTTCAGAATTGCCTATAGTTACATAACCCCAAGAGATATATTCAGCCCTGTATGCTCAGATGGAATATGATGTTTGTACATAAAATGATGAGGATTTGTGAGGCACTCTGACAGGAAGGTGAGGTGAGGCAGTTATAAACCAGATGCTAATGCTGCTTTTGGGCCAGAGTCCTCTGAGGTAGGCTGCTCTATGATAGACTAGCCTGTGTTCAAAAAATGTTTTCCCTGGATCTTTTAATTGAAAATAATTTTAACCAACCATGGAAATTCATTATTTTGATCTGACATTTTAGTACATTTTAAATTGTATCCAGATTTTATTGACTAGAAAAAAAAATACTGTAATTGCTCTAGTGACTAGGATAAATGAAACATTTCTGAAGTAGTATAAAGACCATCTAAATTCTTGAAGTGATAGGATTTGGTTTGAAACCAATAAACTAATTTGATCTTTAAAAAAACCAGCAAGCATCAGAGAAAAATCTTTATCTAAGGCATTTTTGCATCCTCAGTCTGTTTTACATCCCATTTTCCTTTTGGCAGCAAACTTGATGATTCAAGTGAACAGTAATTTGTCAAAAAAAGCAAAGGCTGAAAGGAAAGATCCTTATTATTTTCATTAAAATTTGTCAGTCCAATTCAGTAATAGATACATATATGTGCTTATGTGATAAACATGTGAGTGTATGTATGCATGTGCATGTGGCTGTTCTGCACATACAGAGTAAATTACATTGGAGCACACTGTTGATAGGTTAGATACTGGAGTCTGAGGTTGCTGAATATATATGGAACTCAACAGTAAGAAGGCTAAAGATGTATGAACCCTATCTGGAGCACTCAGGATCTCTCAGTCTGATACACATTCTTTCCACCCCTCTCCGGATGATCCATAGCGGTCTTAAAGTGGGGTCTGCAACCTATGCCAGATAAATCTGTAAGATGCCCATCAGACCACATCTTTTGGCTGTTGCTAAGTATCTACTGGCATACTTAACTTGTAATTTGAGAAATAAATATGTAGCCTGATACCTGGTATGCTGTACTTGTTTTTCACCACTGTAATATAAAACTGCAAATGTGATGAGGCTCTTTGTTATGTATCCGTCTAGCAATCCAAATTTGATCACACCAAGGAATAAATATCTCTAATACAGCAGATCACGCTTATGTTAATTTAAAGGAAAAACACCTAATACTGGCTCTGTTCAGTTTTTGCTCCTTCATTGGTACTATAGGTAGTTTCTGGAATGAAAGCCCTTGCTCTATATTTAACTATATTTATCTTTTGAAAGCTACCTAAGACTGAGCTCTAGGAAGTGTTAACTTCCCTCTCTCATCAGCTGTGGGTGTTAGTTTCATAGCATTGTCTGCACAATCAGCATCCCAATTACCTTTAAAACCACTGCGAATAAATACGTTTCTTTATGATGAAAAGCTTGGAAAATATCCAGTAATTTCTAAGAGCAGGCTGATGTCTTCCTATCAGTTCACCAGCAAAAAAAAAAAAAAAAAAAAAAACTTGAGAATGCTACAGTCACAGGTAAGATATTGTAATCATGGTGATCAGTAATCAAAAATGTGTGGTTTGAAGTCAAGCATATTAACCTGTATATATTCGTTTACTTATGCCCTCCTAAATCAGTCTTGCAAAGAAAATTTAGGCCATTTATAAAATGAACAACACATTCAAGTATAGAATTGGGGCTTTGCTTCCCATGTGTAACAATAGAAAGGCTGTCCTTTGGTGTGTTTCCACAAACCATTTATTTTTAATGCTTTTTTTATTTCGAAGCGAGCAAGGATGGATTCTGCTGTACTGACATTCCACATTCTTGTACGTTTTTATTTAGTTTAGACATATTCTCCAGTCCACCAGGAATACACATGTTTATGCATGTCCCTCCTCCCTGCCTTTAAAGACAGACACCCATCAATATTTCAGTTTTATGACACCTCAATATTTTATTCTCAGCACATTTTGAAAACTTTGACAGAACAAATTTGAAGACGTCTGCTTTCTCCTGTGTTCACCTGCTCATCTCCACTTGTTTAACTCTTTATCCCTATATGCCAATAGATATTATCAGTAAATCCGCCTGGTTTAATCTCCAAAATGTCTCAAAAATCTCCCCTTTCTTCTTCGTTCTCCCCATAAAATCTATGTCAGGTCCATCTTTCTCCACATCCATGCCTACTGCGACCTTGCTGTCTTCAGTCTCTAACTGACACTCACATTAGCCAGTTCTTAAAGTAGTCTAATGCAAAAGTAATCCACTGCTCCCAGTATTGAGATCTCATTAAGATATTCCTAAATCCCTCTTCTTCACTGTCTCCCTATTGCCTCCTACATCTGATCGAAGCTCCCTTTATCACCCAGAGTTCCTCTTAACCTAACCTTCGTTCTTCTGTCCTTGCTCTTTTCTTCCACATCTGACTTCTTTAAGTGCACCCTCCTTACCCGTTGCCGGTCACAATGTAAACCATTTGCTAATTAGCCCTATGCACCTCCTTTGATGTTGTCCACAATACCTGTGAGTGGAGTAGTTCACCTATACTATTCTAGCTGGAAAGTATCCTGATCTGACTGGCTAGTCCCCTTGATAGGTTTGAGCCACTGATTACTAGAATGCAAGTTACCCTGTGCTTTTCTAGAAAAAAGGAAAGGAGCCATTTGTCTTCTTACAGTGAGATCTGGGGTTTTTTTCTGAGTCTTCCACAATCTCTCCTGTGTCCTTAGGCCTTGAATCATAAAAGGATTTAAAGTTTTTACTGTAAATTTACTATCACTATGATTCATTAAATTGTTCTTCAACCAGTCTTTCTGAACACCCCTTGCAGAAAGCTGATGCCTAGAAAAAATTGAAACGTACATCTCTGACTTTTCAAAAAATATGTTTCCAGCTCTTAAGACCTGAATTTTACATTGTGACTTATTGCTCTCTCCACTCGCTTACTACCAAACATCTCTTAGCTTGGTTTTGGGGTGTAAAAAGACACAGGACAATAAGATATAATTTCTGCATTATAGGCTTTCCAGTCCAAGCCCTTAGTAGTCAGCTGAAATTCAGCAGCAGGATCTGTAAGTTAGTGCAGACAAGCCAAGCTTACAACACAGTGCGTGTCAGCACGAGGGACAGGACATGCAGATCAAAGCTCCCCACAGTTCATCTGACTTTCTGTTCCTCTGTGTCTCCATGTGTTAGATTACGGGAAAACTTAAGAAAACAAACCAACTCCTAGTCCCTTCCTTTCTTCCTCTTTGAGTCCCCCCCCCCCTCACAAAATCAAACAGGAGAAAACAGTCTTTCTACACCTGGACCCTTTGTTCACTATTTTCTTCATCGAAGATTAACATCCGGTTAGTGGAGCTTCCTCTCCCTTTGCCAAGGTGCTACAGCAGTGCTTTGTGCCAATCAGACATCTACGTGCTATTTCTACATGCCTCACACCTCCCTGGCCTGAGCAGAGTTTAACCCACTTAAATCCTGCCGGCAGTGATCATGAAGCCGGAAAATGACAGTGAGCAAATAGTTCCTGACAAGGTCAGAAAAAATGTTGCCACATCCACATCCACAGATAATTCTGAAAAGCAGGCTGATACTTTCCCATCAGTTCCCTACCAAAGTCCCAACTTCAAAACTTTCTAGTCAGACATGAGATATTTTGTCACAATGACATTCCACAGCCTCACATCCGTTTTATTTGGTTTGGAGATACTCTCCATTCTTCCAGCCTGTTTGCGCATGTCCCTCTGTTTCCATCTGTAAAGACAAGCACACATCAGTGCTCCAGTTTACTTCAATATGTGCGTTGTCATCTCCATTTAGCAGGGAAATGATGGTATGCACATCACCCATAACAAGATTAGAGAAAATATTGTCATGTCCGTGCATAATATAAGTATATGCTGAAGTCTCGTCGATTAAGACGCTACAATGAGGATAGAACTGCTCTCCCATTTAACATAAAGACATGCCAAATGCATTACCAAATGGGCTATACTGAATATGTCCTCTTACACAACACCCTGTTTCAGCCCCACAAACCCATAGAAACTGGCTCCTGAGGTTCCTGGCCATACAGTTGCCTTCCTGCCTCTTTCCTCCCAGCCTATATGTCTTTGTTTTCCTCACAAAGCAGAGCTCAGTGGATTTCCTGTACCACCTCACAAGCCATTACCCTTAAAGCAACATTGCTCAGCTGCAGTGAGGATCTATCTCACAGCCAAATAAAGCAGTAGGAAGAAGGATTGCAGTCAGCCAAGATTGTCTTCAAAAAAAAAGGGGGTCTTGGGGCTCATCAGGAAAAGGTGGAAGGAAGCATGTAGACCGTTACCTTCAAGCTTGTAAACTCTGAGCTAGTTACTAATCTTCTCCACCTCTTCCTCACCCTCCCTGATCTACTCCACCATTCTTCTGCTGCTCCTTTGCTCCTTCTCCCAGCAGGCTGCAGCTCGCCTCTCACGTCTTCATCCTTCCCCTGCACCAGGCACTCTCCCCAGCAGCTCCTTTAACCCATGTTCCTCTAACCCACTCACCCCTGAAACTTCTCTGGTATCCCCTGCAAGACCCAGGCTCCTGCTTCTCTTTTACTTTCTCATTTATTTCCTCCTCATTTATTCCCTACTTGCCAGAAGACCAGGTCCTCAGCCCCTCCTGACCCTTCCTGCCTGTGAGTCTCAGGAGCTTTTGGAAACGTGAAGCCTGGGACAAGGGGCAGTGTCAGGGCTGCGCCTGCACCAGGATGTCGCTTTTGTGATAGACATATGTGCGTATTTTGCACATGGTCATACGTTTTAAGGCAGGGAGTTTTTCTCTGTGACACAGGGGTTCTGCACCAGGCACTGCACAGCAACAGCGTCACCAATGAAACTGCTGCCTTTCCTAGGTAGGTGAAATCTCCTTCCCCAAGGAGCGAGTGGCAGGTGGGAAGGGAGTGGGGTCTGACAAGGAGAAATGAGTGTGTTGGAGATTGTGAGAATCTAGTGGGTACGCAGGACTCAAAGTCCCCGTGGCTTTGATCAATGCTGCTACTGGATTCGGTAATTGCATAGTCAGTATCATCCCAAAACCATATCCCACAAATGCCAGTCTTTATCTCACTGTGGGTTTTGTTCTGTAAAAACCAGAAACATTGTGGGTTTCCGTGGGTTTGGGGTTTTGGTTTGTTTTTTCTTCTCTCTCCATCTGCTTGGGATATTTTTAGATTTCACATGTTATGAACAGTAAAACAACAACAGAATCCCACAGGTTTCTGTTTTAATCTCTGGACGATGATCTCTCAAAAACAGAGTGGAAAGATGAAATTTGGGTGATACTTAAATTGATGTGGAGTACATATAATTGTTTAAAAATTGTGTGCAGTTTTTATTCTTTTGAATTTTTCATGAAACTTTAATTTGTCCAAGAAAACAACACCTCAGTGATCTCACTGTAATTGTAACTGTAGCCTGTAACCTGTAATTGTAAGAGTAGGCTAACAAGTATCCAGAATAATATTTGGGTAGGGAAAACAGAACTGTGGGGAAAGACAGCATCCAAAAGGATCTTTGTGGTTTGCAACTTTTGCTATATCCTCCTGACAATTTACAAATCCCTTACAAGTTAACTGCCTCATTTCTGACCTATTACAGGGTGTGTATAATTATTCAGTGAGCTGTTAGTTTTCTCAAAGGGAGAGATTCTTTTTTTTTATTGTATTGAAAACAATATGCTTTCATGCAATGGGAAAATAGTTATACCATTTAGGAATCAGCCAGTGGATGGACAAAAAGAAGACAATATTTTCATAACATGGAAACAGTTTTTTTAAGAGATTAAGTAATCTGCATAAATCTTTAAACCCAAATGTCATAATGCTGAAAATACTGTGACGTGTCCTTTTAATCTCTCAGACCATGCATATGTGTTAGCTACAAAAATATAGAAGTGCTTATAAAAATAAAAGCTCTAATCTAGGGAACCCCTCTTCGTATTTTTCACCTGTTATGTGTAGGGCAGTCTGGATTACACTCGATATAAAATTCAGAGTGCAAATAAATATCTGTGTGTTACTGGAAAGTACTAGAGAGCTTTGAAATCCTTTCAAATGTTTTCCCCAGATCACTGAGTAACTTCTATGTCGTTTAGCAATTTTATACTGGTTGAGCATATATATCTTAATCTACAGTGTCCACTGTTTCTAGCCCCTGGGTAGTTTTACCAAAGAAGTCCCCATAGTTGGTGGCCCTTGCCCCATCCTGCAATAAAGCTGAGTCTGCAATGATGCTAAGTTACTGGAATGTACCAATTTTGTAGGTATCTTTTGCCCAGATCTGGTTTTAGAGCTTGGAATGAAGGTTTTAGATAAAGAAACAAGTCTGATTTTCCTTTGTTCCAGTTCTGATTTCCAGTCTGCTGGACTATGGCTGCACTTCTGCAAGCTGCAACATGACATGCCACAAAGACGCCAGGTGTGAAGTTCAGGGTGGGACAACAGGCTGCTATTGCTCCCAAGGATATACAGGAAATGGCATAACATTCTGTTACGGTAAAGAGATTTTACCTCTATGCATTTCTGTTATGTGCCTGCTTGAAAAACCTGGCTCAAGGGTTAAACTTTATGTCACAACAGCTTACACTAATGTGTTCTCAAAGTCAAAAACTTTATCAGTTTCTGAGAAATTCTACAACTTACTCTCAGCCTAGTATTTTAATAGAGCATACTGTGCATTGCAGTTGAGTGTGACCTGTTTTCCAGCCTTCCTTTTCCATGAGAGATGCTGATGTATCATTTCTGATTTAACTTAAGCAATTTCCCTTGTGACTCAGGACTTTTGAAGCTTGGAGTTGGTGTGACTGCTACCTTAGAGCCCTCACATCTCATTCACACATACATCATGCTAGGCCACTCTTCCCAGCAGCTCATCATGGTCAAATAATACAGCTCCTGGGCTACTCTTAGAAGACTGAGGAGGTGTGTGTGCCACAGAGAGACATGTCTGCATGTGAGGCCAGTGTTAATTTTTCCACTACAGTTCCTTGTAAGGGAAATATACCAGAAATCCTAGGGGGGGGTCTGCCTCTGGATGCCTCTATCTTCCATCCAAATAAAAGGATGATTTCCCTGCCTTCCTTTCTGAGTTGTCCTCAGCTATGAATCTCTCTAGTACTTATTCCCACTGTTAGATATGCGCAGCTGCAAGCAGGCTGAAATTCATATGAATCTTGTTAGTTTTCAGTCTCCTGGGAAATAGTTATGAATATTAACCATCTGTTTGGTCAGGTTTTGTGTTTCATGCATCTTAGGAAATTTATAAGTAACAGAGGCACTTTGGTTTGGTATGAGCACAGGTAAGATGCCCACCTTCAGTTTAGATTTTTATAGCTCATTTGCCATGGTGTATTTGGAAGTGTTCTTGTTTTAGGAAAACTTAGAATGAAAAGACCTTTTCCTAAGAGACCTGCCTGCCCTTTTATAAGCTGGGAATGCTTAGAGAGAAATGTAGCTGGCTAAAATAATAAACAATAAGGAATCACAAAAATAATAGAATAATTTAGTTTGGAAGAGATCTCTGGAGGTCATCTAGTCTAGCTCCACACTCAGAGCAGGACCAACTTAGAGAAGGTTGCTCAGGGCCTTGCCCAGCTGAGTTTTTAGTATCTCCAAGAATGAAGACTGCACACCTCTTTGGGCCTCTGTTCCAGTGTCTGACTATTATAATTTTGAATTTTTTTTTTCTTATATCTAGTTGCAGTTTCTCTTGATGCAGCTTGTAACTTTTGCCTCTTACGCACTTACCCCTGTGCATTTCTAATAATAGTTTAACTTAATCTCATCTATAAATCGATGTGATACCCCATTAGGTAGTTGTAGAGCGCAATATGATTTCCCCTTTGTCTTCTCTTCCTAAGCCTGAACAAACACTGTTCTCAGCCTCTTCTTTGCATCATGTATCACGTAGTCACTAAACACATACCTAAACAAAATTTAATGCTAACCTTGGCATAAATACAGGTCAATCATTACTTGTCTATCGAGCTGCTCAAATGAAAACTAGAAGAAATGGCCTTTACCACACTACTGTTGTATTTGCACTAATTCAATTTTACGACCATGAGTAAGCTTGTTGATTTGAAAGTTAAGTGCACATTAGGTTTGCAGAGTCAAGAGCCTATGCTTGTGAATAATGCAGAGAAAGAAGAAAACCAAGTAAATTTTTAGCAATACTACCTGGAACAAATCAAAAGAGCAGTTACTTGTCTACCATGATCTGGTATCCACTACATTGCCTGTACTTTTCTAGAAATTTGTGATTATGAATCATCATTAAATTTGCAAGAAAGATACCTGTTGCTCTTCACTGACATTACTGACATTCTTAATTCCTTCCATTATATATACCTAGTATGGTGTTATTAAATCCATTTGTGTGAGGGTGGATTTATCTTACGTTCTATGTTCTTTTTTTCTCACACAGTGTCTTTTTCTCGTCTTTTTCTCCTGTTTTTTCTTAGGGAAACCTACATTCAAAATTCATAAAAACATTGGTTGATAATTTACGGAAAATTCAGTACCATGAAATATACATTCGCAAATCTTGTGAAGCAATTAATGGTTTATTAAGAGTTATACTAAGTGTTTGGAAACTCAATCTTTAAAATAAAATTTCCAATGTTCGTTCAGGCAAGTTGGCTACTAGATGTATTTGTGGTGCTTTGCAGTTAAGTGGCAATGGTTTGAAGGAAGACTCATGTCAGGTGACCAATATTTTCTCTAGTAAAATACCTCAACAACCACCAAAGTCACTTACCCTCTAGCTAAGCAGCAAAGCTCGTATCAGAACTATGTGGCTGTTGCCCCTGAAAGAGAGACGACATTTCTCTAGGGTGGCATTTTACATGGTGCATTATTAATATTGTGCAGTAGTCCTCTAATAGCATAAACAAGTAACCTGAATTTTAATTGGGCAGCCTCTAAAAAGAGTTAGAAATATAGGCTAAACTCTATCATGAATAGTTTAAAGCTACAAAAGTGTAAAGCAAAGCCTCAGTTGTTTAATGATGTATTAGATCTTGCTGTTCTGTGTGGTGAAAGCGGCAGGTGTATCTGCTGTTCTAGAGATAGCTACCCATTTTTCTTTGGTTAATAATCTTAGGCTTTTACAATGATAGTCCAGTCACCTTCAAAGGAGATCATCAATTATGTGCTAATACGGGCATTTTCTGAAGAGTTTATACAGTTTGTCGTATTTGCATATTTGCCCTTTTAGTTATTTAGATAGGGTGTGAGAGTCATAATTACTGTCAACAACATTAATAATTTCGCATAGCGTAGAACCAATTTCTTCATTGTGCTTATCCCGGTAGACAATTAAACCACAAGAGTGGCTGTTTTTGAGAGTTTATTCTGGAACAAGCAATTCAAATTCTTTCTCCTCATAAAATTATTGACCAACAGAAAATGCTAGTTTTCAGGTTAGTCCTGTTAAGCTTGTATAGCTGGAAAACCACCCCTTTTTATTTACATGTTAATTCTCACTATATTTAAAAGCTTTACATTTGCTTCTCTACTTTCATTTGCTTGTAACACCTCTTAAATTCTTGCAAAAGTTACTTTTTTGCTAGTTCTGTCTTTTCGATGTGATACACATAGATATCTTCCCTTGAGTTTACTGTGCTGCAAAAGGCAATAATGCCCTGTTACATTTATTTCCTAGCACCATTATTGATGAATCATGAATCACTGATGTCAGCATACCTTAGGAATGGGGTTTGTTAGTTTTAACTTTTCTCCCTTTGCCAGCTGGCTAAGTGACTGCAGAGAGCTCAAGATTATTGGATTTGCTGTGTATAGATAAAGACATATAGATATGAATTTAATTTCCTGCTGTCAAAGTCATGGCTTTTAAAATAATTATCCTCTTACAATCTTTCCCACAAGATTTCAACCACTTTAAATTAGGTCATGTTTTGGACTTTCCGAAGGCATACTTTGGCCAGTCTAACAAAAACCTAATCCTCTTCATAATCTCATTGTCTCCAGTAAGAATA